CCCAGTCACAGAACTGTCTGTCTCTGTTAAATGAACGTGCTGAGAGGAGATAAGCTGAAGAGTTTCTAGGTCATGGTCTGGCTTTTTAAAGAGTTTCTATCTGCCTTACTGAAATATTTAGTAGGAAGCATCAGAAATGAACCCTAGGGAATGCAGAGGTGTGACAGTTTGCTAGGGCTGCGGTAGCATAGTACCAGAGATTGACTGGCTTAGACAGGAGATAAGAAATACCTAGTTAGGGACTAAACTGTGAATGTGTTCTGTCCAGTTTCTGCTATACCTGCTACATCTTTGAGAAAAAATTTAGCAAGTTTCCTGGGAAAACATGTCTTTACTTTTAAGTATTAGAATTTTCTTGTATGATAGTCTTTTCAGTTTTGAAGAGAAAAATAATTAGTTTTGGTCTATATTTGTTTCTTGGCTGTTTGAAAATACAAGTGACTTAGGCTTAATCACTAAAAAGCGTAAAACCTTTTGTTAATAAAATCATTGTGAAGAAAATAATCTTTGTGCCCAAATGAAGTTTTAATACAAAACTTGTGAAGGTTTATTTAGATTCTTTGACTAATATACTTTAAAATTTCTATAATCTTGTACTTTAAACTATAACCTGTAGAAAGAATGTTATACCACCCTGAAGGTGGCTATAAAAATTGTTTATGAAGTTCGGGCAAAGACTAAAATATGTTGAAATGGAGAGTTTTGAAAAATGTTCTATATAGCAATGGAGACCAAATCATGCTAAAATGCAGAAAAAGACTATACATCAGTTTCCAGGCTACATTATTCAAAAAAATACAACCATAAAAAAGGTAATAAGATTACATTTTCACATTTCATGGCTAGTAAAGTGCATTAGGCTGCTCAGGTATTCATAACTTACTGTGACATTTGGGAAGATTACATTTTGTAGTGCACAGCCATCACTGCAGCTCAGATAATAACTAGCCAGTGCCTGGACTTGGATTATGATCCCTGCCTTTGGAAAAAAATTTGTGTTTTGAAGGTTGATCAGCTTCACATAACTATTAAAGAGGTTAACATGACATACTGTAGACCCTGTGCGTGCTTTTTAGGTATAACAGACATGCATACATATAGTATATCAAATATGCCACATGTGTATGTACCAATTTCTGCCATCAATTTTCTCCTTGAAAGGCATATTTTACAATATTTAAAGCAATGGAGAAATACCTAAAACATCTGTCTGGATACTGCTCTTACAGTGTAAACCCAATTTAAAAGCTGGTGAAATATTTGGATGTTTTTTTGGAAATTACTTTTCAAAAATTAATTCGGTAGCTTCTTGGAAGGGTGCATGTTGATAGTGATAAACACAGATCAAAATGAAAGATTGATGTAGGTAATAGTAAGGTGAAGGTAAGGTCATGTAAGTTAGTTGCAGCTGGGTCTCTGACCTATTTAGATCAGTGTAGAGGGTATCCTAAAGCGTATGTTTACTCCAGATTCTCCCCTCGCCCTCATTCTCCATATGCTCAGTTGCCTTTTCAGAAGCAATCACCACTTAGTTTCTTGTGTATCATTCTTAGGTATATGTTTATATTTTATACTCAAATTGTAGCCTCTTATTCACTTTTCTCCATTTTGATTATCTCAGCTACACAGTGTATTTTAGAGATGACTTTTTCTGTCAGAGTTGCCTCATTATTTTCAATGGCTGAATCATATTCCATTATATAAACACAACTTTACTAACTTTATCATGTCTTTTTGAGGGGTATTGTTTCTTCTATTTTCTGTTGCATGCTAAATGAAATTTTTATATCTAACATCATTACTTAAATGTACCTGTGGAATATATTTCTAGTTGTTAAGGTAGCCATTGGTGGTTGGCTTCTGTTTAGCATAATTCTTTCTGAGATGGATTCATATTGTTAACTTTCATCAGTAGTTCCACTGCCAAATACTTATCTCAGTTATAGCAGTTTTTAGTTTTCCTCTTTATCATCTGAAAATAATTGGAATTTAAACCCCTGTTGTGATATTTATACATGTAGCTGCCTTTGCACCGAATGTGACTTCTGTGTCTACAGAAATACGTCAAGGGATAGTGGTGATGGTACATCTTAGTCTTATTTGTGACTTCCATGAGAGTCATTCCAAATTCCTGTTTGGGCATAATGCTGACATTTTAGGTTTATTTTATTATTAAAGGAGGTCTTTAAAATTAATGAACATAGAGAGTTTGATGGAAATAGAAGATGACGATTTATCTATGCCACAGTATTTACAGTTCCACGTAAGATCCATTAAAATTATGATGAGAAACAATTTATTTGTGTAGTCTCAAAGTATTCTTTACAAGAATGCTTAATAATATGAAAATGAAAGATAATAACTTTAAAACGGAAGAAATCTGACAGATACCTCCTTGAGCACGAGATCAAATTTAACTTCACCAATAGTGGGGCATACTGACATCAGATACCATCTGAATAATATACCCATCAGGTATCATCTGAACTACTAATACACTGAGAAGGACACGTGTCATCTCTATGGAGTATTTTTTACCAAAAATACACAGCTTGAATTTAAACATGAAAAATCATTCACATTATAAGACCGTCTTTAAAATAGCTGGCAAATCCGCTTCAAAAGTATAAAAATCACAGAAGTCAAAGAATGCCCTTGTCATAGTTGGGAGAAGACTAAGGAGATGCTGATGCTGGATCAGAAAAAGGATATTAGTGTGACAAGTCTTGCTATTTGAGTAAGGTCTGTAGTATTGTACCTGGTTTTGATGACTGTACTATGATGATACAATATATTCACATTAGGGTATATAGGAATTGTATACTGTTTTGCAATTTTTTGAAAGTCTGAAATTATTTCAGTATAAAAGTTAAGGACACATCAAGTGAAAAAAAATCACGAATAATCATAAAACAACAACAACAACAATCCCTATTAGGAGTTCTCATGTAGCTTACAGAATTTGGGGGTCACCTTAGGGAACCAAGCATGTATACTTTATAGCTAGGGCCATGTTGCTAGGAGAATTGGCCCAGTGACACCAAGGGACTCTTAGCAAAAACACAGTTGTCATCCTATGTCACATGTTGCTACTGATGATGCAAAAAATTGTACACTAAAATCTCTGCCACAGCTTTCCTAGAAGAACCAAAAGCCTTTAGCGCTGTGCTTGCCAAGAATTCTTATCTCCTTGCATGCAGATACTGCCTCTTGATTTTCACTTTTGCATTTTTTCTTTTTCTTGCTAGTGTGTATCTTTGACAGAACATGGGATCCATATTCATTCCTGGCTGTAGGGAGTTTTAATTGATTCCCTAACTCTGAATCTTTTTTGCTTTTCCGAAGTAAACTCTATTTGGTCAGGTCTGTTATTCTTTGTATGAGATTTTGTTTTGTACAGTTCACTTTCTTGTAATTCTTTCCTACTTTTTGAGCTTAGTAAAGCATAATGAAAACTGCCTAATAAAGAAGTGTTCAGAAGGACTGGAGTGTAGGTGAATCATATATGTAACTATTCTTTAAAATATAGAAATCTTTAAAAAATCTAGTAAAAAAAGATAGGCCTGGGAATTCCCTGGCAGTCTAAGGACTCTGTTTTCACTGCTGAGGACGTGGGTTTAATCCTTGGTTGAGGAACTAAGATCCCATGAGCTGCATGGCATGGCCAAAAAAAAAGTCTGCAAAGGTAATTCTAAAAGTATTTTATTTCGTTTAAACAATTGGGGTTTGTTAAAATTAAAAAACTTTCCCTCTGTAGGAGAATGCTGTGGGTGACATGGCAAGGTAGGAATAGGTCTCAGTACAGCTTTCTCTGGATGGATTTTCTGATAGCAATCTTAATGAAATAACATTTTTTTGATTACTGACTTTGAGTGTGTGCGAATTTTATGTTTAAGTTATCCTCATTATTGATAGGAGGGATCAAAATGGGTAGGTATATATAATAAACCAGAAATATGACAAGAAAAAACTATAAGTTTTGTGTTCATTTTGAGCCTTTTTCAGCTTTTCATTTTTGCTGTGAACTCATACATTGTATAGGTAGCAAAGGATCTTTAGGTTACTGTGAGTAGCTTACAATGTTAATTGCTCAGTCGTGTCCAACTCTTTGAGACCCATGGACTGCAGCCTGCCGGCCTCCACTGTCCATGGAATTCTCCAGGCAAGAATAGTGCGTAGCTTGCAGATTACCTAATTCATAGATGAAACATTGAATTAGAAAGAAAGTATAGAGCTAAGTTAGCCCACTCCAGTGTTCTTGCCTGGAGAATCCCAGGGACAGGGGAGCCTGCTGGGCCGCTGTCTGTGGGGTCGCACAGACTCGGACACGACTGAAGCGACTTAGCAGCAGCAGCAGCAGCAGAGAGCTACGTTAGATCTTCATTGAGGCTTTGCTGGTGGCGCAGATGGTAAAGAATCTGCCTGCAGTGAGGAAGACCCAGGTTCAATCCCTGGGTCGGGAAGTTCCCCTGGAGATGAAAGCAAGTATAGAGCTAAGTTAACCCACTCCAGTGTTCTTGTCTGGAGAATTGCATGGACAGAGGAGACTGGCAGGTTACAGTCCATGGGGTCACAAAGAGTGGGATACAACTGAAATCTCCATCAGTGTCAGTAGGTAGTGATTTAAGACATCCTGTATTTGTTTTTGTTGAAAATAGTTCTGTTTTTATATTCTAAGTCTTGGTTGATTGTGCTATCGTAACATGAAGATTTCTTCTGAAGCTTTATTTTTTTAGAGCTGTGTGTGTATGTGTTTTAAGATCTTTTTAAAGATTCATGTTGATATATGGCAAAAACCACAACAATATTGTAAAGTAATTAGCTTCTAATTAAAATAAATTAATTAAAAAAATCTTTTTATTGTTGTAAGGGGTAGAGAAGAATGTATATGGGTAGTTACTTGCCAAACTAAAGCTTTGTAATGTACTCTAGTCACACTGAAGAAGTGCTAATGCTTTTAATGTATTTTTTCTTTCCACCCTCCCTGTTGCCCCTGGAAGTTGGTAGGAGGGCAGTTTGATTTAGAAATGAATTTCATTATTCAAGAAGGTGAGAGTATCATCTGCATGGTGGACCTACTGGAAAAATGTGATGTTACTTGCCAAGCAGAAGTCTGGAGCATGTTTACAGCCATTCTGAAGAAAAGTATACGAAATCTTCAAATCTGCACTGAAGTGGGCCTTGTTGAAAAAGTGCTTGGGAAAATTGAAAATGTTGACAATATGATTGCAGGTATGACTTTCTGTAACACAGTGGTTGTGAGGAGATGAAGTCTGATTATTAAGTACTGTATTTTTCTTCTTTAGTAATATTTAAGAGATGCTGAGCATGTGACATGTACCTGGAACTTTATTGTCTAAACTCTTAAGCAAGCACTCTGTATTTTAATTCTTCAAGAAATATAAGTAGCTTAATTATTTTATTTGTTGCTTTCTTTGTTTCTAGATCTTTTAGTTGACATGTTGGGAGTGCTGGCTAGCTACAATTTGACAGTTCGAGAACTAAAGCTGTTCTTCAGTAAACTTCAAGGAGATAAAGGACAATGGGTAAACTTAAATATTCTTTGATATTTGAAAATACTCCCCTCCCCAAACTTTTTAGTGGCTTTTAAGCAGTTGATATTGCTGCACAGGGGTTAAATGTCAAATTGAGTAGACGAGATCAATTAGAATAGCATATGGACTTAGGGCTGTTTTTGCTGTCACGTGACACAGTTGTGGAGTAAGAGGACTGAGTGTGCCAAGATGGTTGGTAATTCGGTCCTTCTTTGAATGGTTAATATTTCAAATATAAATTCAACATTTACAAGAGGAAATGGCTAAGGACAGAGAAATAAAAATGTTGGGTAGCAGCACCTAGCTTCTCTATCAATCTGAGTAGTGTTAAGTGTGGCCTTTAAACTTGAACAACCCACTCAGTGAACCAAAGCCATGTGCTTTATTGATCTACCCTCCTTAGGTGTATTTTCATGGTCCTTTGCAAGGGATGGTATTGGTCAGTTCACTTCAGTCACTCACTTGTGTCCGACTCTTTGTGACCCCATGGACTGCAGTATGCCAGGCTTCCCTGTCCATCACCAACTCCCTGAGCTTACTCAAATTCATGTCCATTGAGTTGGTGATGTGATCCAACCATCTCATCCTCTGTTGTCTCCTTCTTCTCCCGCCTTCAATCTTTCCCAGCATCAGGGTCTTTTCAAATGAGTCAGTTCTTTGCATCAGGTGGCCAAAGCATTGGAGTTTCAGCTTCAGCATCAGTCTTTCCAATGAATATTCAGGACTGATTTCCTTTAGGATGGACCGGTTGGATCTCCATGTTGTCCAGGGGACTCTCAAGAGTGTTCTCCAACACCACAGTTCAAAAGCATCAATTCTTTGGCACTCAGCTTTCTTTATGGGCCAGCTCTGACATCCATACGTCACTACTGGAAAGACCATAGCTTTGACTAGACAGACCTTTGTTGGCAAAGTAATGTCTCTACTTTTTAATATGCTGTCTAGATTAACTTCCAAGGAGTAAGTGTCTTTTAGTTTCATGGCTGCAATCACCAACTGCAGTGATTTTGGAGCCAAAGAAATAAAGTCTGTCATTATTTCCACTGTTTCCCCATCTATTTGCCATGAAGTGATGGGACTGGATGCTGTGATCTTACTTTTCTGAATGTTGAGCTTTAAGCCAGCTTGTTCGCTCTCCTCTTTCACTTTCATCAAGAGGCTTTTTAGTTCTTCTTCACTTTCTGCCATAAGGATGGTGTCATCTGCATATCTGAGGTTATTGATATTTCTCTCAGCAATCTGGATTCCAGCTTGTGCTTCATCCAGCCCAGCATTTCTCATGATATACTCTGAATAGAAGTTAAATAAGCAGGGTGACAATATACAGCCTTGCCAATATACTCCTTTCCTGATTTGGAACCAGTCTGTTGTTCCATGTCCAGTTCTAACTGTTGCTTCCTGACCTGCATACAGATTTCTCAGGAGGCAGGTCAGGTGGTCTGGTATTCCCATCTCTTTCAGAATTTTCCACAGTTTGTTGTGATCCACACAGTCAAAGGCTTTGGCACAGTCAATAAAGCAGAAGTTGATGTTTTTCTGAAACTTTCACTCTTTCAGTGAGCCAACGGATGTTGGCAATTTGATCTCTTGTTCCTCTGCCTTTTCTAAATCCAGCTTGAACATCTGGAAGTTCTCCATGCAGGTACTGTTGAAGCCTGGCTTGGAGAATTTTGGTATTGGTCAGCTGATTTTGAACTCCAGGTGCCTCATCAACCTGTTTATTTACGCTTTAGTTACTTACCCCTAGGGGAATACTAGTAAATATTTTCTCCATTTTTGTTGCATTTCTAGGCTTATTTTAGAGCTCTTTAGAAATCATTGCCGATAGCAACTACTCAGCCTGTTGATCCTTAATCCAGTTCTGTTGAGTATATCTAAGTTTGTGCTCTGCAGTTATATAGTATTATATTAAAATGATTAGACTCTCTAGCTTCTTTTTATCAAACTTTAGTTCTCTGCTTTTTAAGATTTTTTTTGTCACTAATTTGAAGTGATTTTATTATGTTTCTTGGTGAGGTTTACCTTGTATTTATTCTTCCTAGGTATTCTTGCATCTGTGGGATTATAATTTTCATCAGTTTGGAAGCATTTTGGTCATTATTTCTCCGAATATTATTTTCCTGCCCCTCTCCCACTCCTCTGGGACTCTTAATTGCATGTTGGTTAATCTTCTCTGCATTGTGCCTTAGGTCACTGAGATCTATTCACTTTTTTTTTTAAGTCTTTTCTCTTTGTGCTTCATTTTAAATTGCTTTTATTGCTGTATTTTTAAGATCTTTTCTTCTGTAGTTTTGTTATTATCCCTTAAACTTTTCAGATTTCACATACTTTAATGTCTCTAAATTTTATTTGTTTCTTCTTAAAATATCTTTCATTTTTCCCCCTCATTCATGTTTTTTCTTTAAATCGTTGGAAATATATAACATATTAATAGTTGCTTTAATGTTCTTATTCATTGATTCTGTCATCGATGTATTTTCTAGATCCGTTTTTTACTCGCTCACTGTGCTTTTACTTGTAGGTCCTGTTTTCTAGTTTCCTTCTGTTAGTGATTTTAGACATAGTGATATTAGTCACAGCTCGTGGCGACTAAGTGCCTGCTGCTGGATTTTGTTACGGTTCTTTTAAGATTGTGACAGGTTTGCAGTGCAGATCGACACTTGTGGTCCTTTCCATCAGTCAGGCAGGCCAGTGGCTCAGTCCTCCCACTCTTTGCAACCCCATGGACTGCAGCATGTCAGTAGTCCTTTCAGGCTACTTTAAACTTTTTTTCGGTCAGGTCTAGATTGGCTGTTGCTCTCGGGCAAAGTCAGCCTTATTATTCTGGCCTACTTTTGTAGAGTTTCTGTGAATGACCCTGAGTCTCAGACATGAGGCAAGAGGTAGTATAAGCCTGAGGTCTCTCCACAGTGCTGGTAGGGTCTCAGTGATTCCTGGCTCTGTATTAGCTCTGGGAGTTCTTTGACTTATGGCTGTTAAAATCTTGGCCACCTACCTTGTTGAGTTTTAAGGTAGAAATGCACAATTTGGTATTATGTCAAAGGGTCAGTGAAGATTTCTAGAGACTCTTGTTTGCATTCGTCCTTCCTCTGTAATATTCTGCCCTGAGGATTCTGTCCTCCTCAGACCACCCATTCTCCAATTTCTGCCTAATTGACTCAGTGAGACTTTTAAGTTCTGTTTGATTTCCCTCCCCTGTGCAATGATATGTGATATGGAAATTGACTCCAACTAGAAAGTCTTGGAATATCATGGCTCATTTTGTTTCCCTTTCTCAAGGATCAGTCTTGAGCTATCTCTTTTCCATGTCTCAAGACAGTTTTAGTTGCAGACATTTTGTCCAGTTTTCTAGTTGTTTATGGTGACTTGGTAATTGTAGGTCCTATTGTGGTGTCATGTCCAGAAGAATACTGGTTTGATTTACATTCAAATTATTTATTCTGAATATATAATTAAAACATTTCTTATATTGGTGTATAGAGAAAACTATAAGAAAACAGCAAAGAATACGAACAGACACTTATTTGCAGAGATAGAAACCCCATAATCAAATATATGCTAAATCATTAATAATTAGAGATGTTCAGATTAAAACAATATTGATATGTAAAATCAGTAGTATCAAGAATTATAGATTGGATAATAGCAAGTATAAGTGGGGGAGAGAGTTATTTTTAACCTGTGAGGATGTTCACAAGCCTTATTTTTGATGTCGGTGAACTGTCAACATGTGTGTTTATCTTAGGAGAGTAGCTAGGTAAATGTATTGGATGCAGAGAATAGATTATTATATAGCAGGTAGAATTAATACATAGAGTAAAATGGACTTCCCTGGTGGCTCTAGTGGTTAATAACTCGCCCACCAATGCAGGAGACATAAGAGATGTGGGTTTGATCCCTGGGTTGGGAACGTCCTCTGGAGGAGGGCATGGCAACCCACTCCAGTATTGTTGCCTGGAGAATCCCATGGACAGAGGAACCTGATGGGTTATGGACCATAGCCCATAGCCCATAATGGGCTAAGGGTCACAAAGAGTTGGATATGACTGAAGCAACTTAGCTCATCGAGTTAAATGAATAGATATCAAAAAGCAGGTAGAAAGTGAAAAATAGAATGATATATCTAACCCAGTCAGTTCAGTTGCTTGGTCGTGTCTGACTCTTTGCGACCCTATGGACTTGAGCATGCCAGGCTTCCCTGTCCATCACCAACTCCTAGAGCCTGCTCAAAGTCATGTCCATCGAGTTGGTGATGCCATCCAACCATCTCATCCCCTGTCATCCCCTTCTCCTCCCGCCCTCAATCTTTCCCAGCATCAGGGTCTTTTCCAGTGAGTCAGCTCTTCACATCAGGTGGCCAAAGTATTGGAGTTTTAGCTTCAACATCAGTCCTTCCAATGAACACCCAGGACTGATCTCCTTTAGGATGGACTGGTTGGATCTCCTTGCAGTCCAAGGGACTCTCAAGAGTCTTTTCCAACACCACAGTTCAAAAGCATCAATTCTTTGGCACTCAGCTTTCTTTATAGTCCAACTCTGACATCCATACATGACTACTGGAAAAACCATAGCTTTGACTAGACGGACCTTTGTCGGCAAAGTCTCTGCTCTTTAATATGCTGTCTAGGTGGGTCATAACTTTTCTTCCAAGGAGCAAGTAATTTCATCATTGCAGTCACCACCTGCAGTGATTTTGGAGCCTAAGAAAATAAAGTCTTTCACTGTTTCTACTGTTTCTCCATCTATCTGCCATGAAGTGATGGGAGTGGATGCCATGATCTTTGTTTTTTGAATGTTGAGTTTTAACCCAGCTTTTTCACTCTCCTCTTTCACTTTCATCAAGAGGCTCTTTAATTACTCTTGGCTTTCTGCCATAATGATGTTGTCATGTGCATATCTGAGGTTATTGATATTTCTCCCTGCAATCTTGATTCCAGCGTATACTTCATCCAGTCTGGCATTTCGCATGATGTAATCTGTATAGAAGTTAAATAAGCAAGGTGACAATATACAGTCTTGACTATATATTGATTATATTTAAAACTAAAGTATAATTTCAGTTCAGTTTAGTTCAGTCGCTCAGTTGTGCCCGACTCTTTGCAACCGCATGGACAGCAGCATTCCAGGCCACCCTGTCCATCACCAACTTCTGGAGTTCACCCAGACTCATATCCATTGAGTTGGTGATGCCATCCACCCATCTCATCTTCTGTCGTCCCCTTCTCCTCCCGCCTTCAATCTTTCCCAGCATCAGGGTCTTTTCCAATGAGTCAGCTCTTCACATCAGGTGGCCAAGTTAAATAAGCAGGGTGACAATATACAGCCTTGATGTACTCCTTTTCCTATTTGGAACCAGTCTGTAGTTCCATGTCCAGTTCTAACTGTTGCTTCCTAACCTGCATACAGATTTCTCAATAGGCAGGTCAGGTGATCTGGTATTCCCATCTCTTTCAGAATTATACATAAAATTTAAGTACAGATTATACCTAAAATTTAAAAGATGTTGGGTTAGACATTTATTATCTTATATATATAACCGAACAGCTTTTAAATTTTAAGTATAATCACACAGGTGCACATTTTTGAAGGTCGACATATGAAATGATTAAGCAGGACTTCCCTCCTTGCGATGTTGGGATCCCACATTCTAAAGAGCAGCTAGTCCTGTGTACTGCAGCTATTATGGAAAATCTGTGTTACATTCCAAGATCCTGCATGATGCCTGATTCAGCCAAATAAATAAATATTAAAAAAACAGATTAAACACATTGAGGTTAAGTGTATAGTTATCAGGGATAGAGGGAAAAAAGTACTGTATTAATAAAACAAGAGCAGGGCTTTGCTCAGTTATGATGTAGCTTTGGTATCACATCAGTGCAGTGAAAAATCCCTATATTTAAATGTGTGTCTGCCTTTTTGATTATTACTTTAGCATAGATTTTTATGTATGGAACTAGTGTATCAGTGTTTAGAGATTCTTGAAATATGAACACTAAATTGTTTTCTGGGAGGCTTTCCTAGTATACAATCCCCTGGCAGCGTCTGTGGAGTAATGTGCTATTCTTGTGTTCTTTTTAATTGGTTGATAAAAAAGGAAAATTTGAGTAATGATTTCTATAGATGAAAATGTTATTATATTTTTATTTTTGACTGTGGATTATTTTTGGTAATTTTATTTTAGAATTTACTTAAAACAATGTGATTATAGTAATTTATTACACTTTTATAATTGAACAGTGTGGGTAATTGGAAACTTCTCGATCAAGCTTAATAATGTCACTTGCCAGTTAGCATTTATATGAAAGGTTGCCGAACTCTTTTAGTCAGGAGTGTTTTGGCTGTCCTGGGTGGGTCTTTGCTGCTGCTCAGGCTTTTCCCTAGTTGTGGCGAGCAGGGGCTGCGTCCTGCTCGTGGCGCGCAGGCTTCTCACAGCAGCGGCTTCTCCTGCTGGGGAGCCCAGACTCGCCGGTGTTTGGGCTTCAGTAGTTGTGGTGCATGGACTTGGTGGTGCACGGGCCTAGCTGCTCTGTGGCCTGTGGCCTCTGCCCAGAGCAGGGATCAAGCCCATGTCTCCTGCATTGGTAGGCAGATTCTTTACCACTGGGCCACCAGGGAAGCCCCTAGATAGTTATTCATGATAATTTAGAGCAGCTACCAGATAAGATGAAGGCAAGACTGTGATTTCATTTGTAGTTTGACAGTGTTTTAAACTTTTAACTTTTAAGAGGCATGCACTACACATTATTCTATTTGCTTGCAAACTGATTTAAATTATTATCTTGTTGTCCTTTGCTTTTCCTTGTTAATGTAAATACATGTTTTTGTTTTAGCTGTTGGGTTGTTGAATGTATTAGAGGAGACTTGTGGATCAAAGAGTCATTAATCAAACAAATGTGATGTTACAACTTTTATGCATGCTCTATAGTAGAAACATGTTGTAGAATGAAATGTGGTAGGAAGATTTGATCTGTTTTCAGAGGTCAGGAAAGACTGCCCTGGGAAGTGACCCATTAAGATGAGCTTAAAGAATGGGTAAGATTTATTTAGTTAAGGCAGGGGAGGGCTGGGAGTGGGGAATAGTCCTAGTGGAACATTTTAAGGAGAAGAATAGTTTGTGCTCAGGCTCTGTTATGGTTACAAGCTATTATAGATAGAGTGCAGTTAAGCATCTTTTGGGCCATGTTAAGGAGTCTGGTCTTTTTTTTTTAAAGGCAGTGGGAAGCTACTGGAGGGATGTATAAAGTGGAAAGTGTAGTTATTAAAAGCTTGGACTCTGGAATGAGATTGATTTCTCATCCCACTTACTACCTGTATGACCTTGGATATGTTCCCCTGCCTCAAATTCCTCCTTTGTAAAATGGGATGATGATAACCCCTAGTGTGGTTATGAGGCTAAAATATTTTACTGTTTTAAAATACCTTTAACAGTGGGACTTGATAAGCATTATTTTTTGGTGAGATTAGAAAGTGTTTTAAAAACGGGTGAGAGGTGGGATGATGTAGTTTGTAATTTTAAAAGGTCGTTTTTGCTGCAGCCTGGAAGAGCTTTGTGTCAAATGCTACCAGCTCATATTTATCTAACACCTCCCATAGAACAGTGGCATAGAATGCGTTATTTCTTTAAGATAGTTGAAAATCACCTTTTTTGGATATTATATATGCTTTTTTAGCTTATGGAATGACTATATTGTGGTATATTCAAGTATGTCTATATTAAAAGTATATATTTTTGTTCTATGGTGAGTAATGTGGTTAATGAATTGCTAATTATTTTCATAGCCTCCACATGCTGGAAAGTTGCTGTCTGTGTTAAAGCACATGCCACAGAAGTATGGTCCTGATGCCTTTTTCAACTTTCCAGGAAAGAGTGCTGCCGTAAGTAGATCTTAATGAAGAAATCATTTGAAGTTCTTTCCTTTGCCTCCTGAAAGTATGGCCTCGTAAGCACTCTTGACCGGTCCTGTGTTGGGGAAAACCTCTTTGCACAACCTAACTCAGTCCTTAAGACAATATTGCCTGTTCCTTTTTCCTGGCTGTTTTGGAGGTGAAGAAATAGAGGCTTTAAGAAATTAAGAAAGCTGCCCATTCACCCCTTGGGGTCTCAATGGAATAAGAACTCAATTCTTTTCAACATAAGCCATGTTTTCTTATGAATTTTTATCTCAGCATTCTGAAATAGAAATTTATGTATAGCAGTTTCACTTTTATCTTTCTTTAGTGTTACATTTCCTGATTTCTCTTTCTTTTGCACCTGATGTGTAAGTTGAGAGCAACTCTGAGAAACTTTCTAGGCAAGTTTTTCTGACTTGTGAGTTTCCATATTGTATCAGTCTCAGCATTCTTATAAACTGTTAGTCAGTTTACAAGTAAGACAGTTAATGTATGGCAGTAATATCTGTAATGTTTCAAAGTATTATATGATTACATTATATAATGTATATGTGTTATTTTTGGAAGCTTTTTAGCATCCTCTTTATTACATTGGTCTGCCTGTTATAAGCAAGTATTTTGAAGTTATCTTTTATTCATTTTTTATTTTTGTTCTCATAATATCCTACCTTTTATGGCGTCCATGTAGCCAGGCAATATCTGCAGAAAGAAGAGCGTGTTTTAAAAGAATATTTATGATATTTGAGTGTTGCACAAACATTGTACAGTTTTCTTTGGAAGGTTTTATTGCTCATGTTATTTTTTCTTTCTAATTTTTCCTTAATAACTATTTTAGATTTGAAGCTTTTCAGAATATTTTGCTCACTTGGCATTGAGTTTATCATTTGTCTCCCAGCATAAAAATGTATTCTTAGGAGATAAAAGTATTCTTATTAGGGAAACCTTATTTAATGCATGTTTTAACTTTATTATTTATATTTCTTTGAGATTGTTACATGTCTGTTACATTTTGTTGTATGTATCTTGAAATTTGGCCAGTTGAACTACACAGCTTTTGGAGTTTTCAGAGAATAGATGTTTTAAATATATTCATTGACTCATTTTATTTCACCTTAAACATAGCTTTTAAAGGGAAGTTATTCGTGGGTAAATTATTTTTACCCAGCTTTCACATCCTCTATTCTCATGTTTGATTGAGAGAGAACATATGTATACAAAGAGTATGCGTAAATTTTTTCCTTGATACAGCATTCATTTTAAATCAGACTTTTGAAGTCTCAATAGTGTTATTAAATAAATTTGGCTCTATGATGTTTTTCATGTTTTATGAAATATCTTATAAAAAATGTGTATATTTCATGTCTACCTAAATGCATATGTAGTGTTATAACAAGAAAAGAAAAGCTTTTAGTAGGATCTTTTTTAACAGCTTTATTGAGTTACGATTCCCATATCACACACTCCTGTCATCTAAAGTGTGCGTACAGTGAACAGGTGTGTTCATCCATCTGTGCAGTTGTTACCACAGTCGACTTTAGAACATTCCCATTACCGTCAGAAGAAGCCCTGTGCTCTCGAGCAGTCACTGCACATCTCACTCCAGACTCCCTCGCCTGGGCAACTACTGTTCTACTTTTTGTTTCTTTGAATTTGTCTATTTTGGGCAGTTCATGCAAATGGAATTATATGATGTCTGGAATTTTATGATTGGCTTTTTGCACTTAGCACTGCTGTTTTAAGATCCATTAATGTTGTAGTATGTATCAGTGCTTCATTCCTTTTATTGACTAATATTCTAATATAAGAATATACCACATTTTGTTTAATTATTTTTTAAATGTACTTTTTTAGTTGAAGGATAATTGCTTTACAGAATTCTGTTGATTTCTGTCAAACCTCAGCATGAATCCGCCATAGCTGTACATATGTCCCCTCCCTTTTGAACCTCCCTCCCGTCTCCCTCCCCATCCCACCTAATTATTCTTTAATTAGTGGATATTTGCATTCTACTTTTTGGAAATGCTCTATGGCCTTTTATTTCCAAGTTTTTATATAGACATATGTTTTCATTTCTCTTGGAAATGAAGTAGTAGAACTGCTGAGTCATATTGTCTTATGTGCAAACCATTTGAGGTACTCCCATATTGTTTTTCCAAAGTGACTATATTTATTTTACAATCTCATCATCAGTTTAGGAGGTTTCTGGTTTCTCCACTTGCTTACCCACACTTGTTAATGTCTGTCTTTTTGATTACAGCCATCCTAGTCATGTTAAGTAACATCTTACTGCGATTTTGATTTGTATTTCCTTAATGACTGATGATGCTGAGTATCATTTCATGTTCTTATTGGCTGTTTGCATATGTTCTTTGGACGTGTGTCCATTCAGATATTTTGCCCACTGAAAAACTGTATTTATTTATATTGGATTTGTGACAATCCTCTGTATATTCTTCTGGATATAAGCTTCTCATCAGATAAATAATTTTCAGATATTTTCTCCCATTCTCAGGCTATCACTTTCTTGATAGTATCTTTTAAAACACAAAAGTTTTTAATTTAATGAAGTCTAGTGCATGTATTTTTTTCTCTTGTAAATAATTAAAAAGAGTTTATCTATCTCAGGGTCATGAAGATTACTCCTATTTTTCTTCATAAAAGTTTTTAATTTCAGCTTTCACATTTCACAGGATTGATTTGGGGTTGATATTTTGTGTATCATAGAAGGTAGTGGTCAACTTCATACTCTTGCTTGTAAATAAGAGTTTTCTCAGTGCATTTGTTCATTAAACTATCTAGATACTCTTGTTAAAAATCAAGACCACAAACATAAGGGCTTATTTATGGGCTCTCCCTTCTACTCCGTTGATCTCAATCTCTATCATTATGCCAGTACCCCACAACTTTCAGTACTGTATCTTTGCATTGTAGGTTTTAATTTGGTAGTCTGTGTTATTTAGCAACTTCCCACTATTTACTTTACACGACAGTGTAGATATGTCAGTGCTGTTTTCTTAATCAGTCCTACCCTCATCTTCCCCTGCTGTGTTCACAAGTCCATTCTGTACTATGTTCATCAGTACCATTTTTCTAGATTCCATGTATATGTGTTAATATACTATACTTGTTTTTCTCTTTCTGACTTGCTTTACTCTGTTTAAGAGACTCTGTGTTCATTAAGCTCAGTACAAATGACTCAAATTCATTCCTTTTTTATGGCTGAGTAATGTTCCATTGTACAACTGTAGTTAGTGGGAAGTTGCTAAATAACACAGGGATACCAGCCTAGCACTCTGGGATGACTTAGCGGGGTGAAATGGGGGAGGAGAGGGAGGGAAGGGATGTATTTCTAGTTATGACTGATTGGCAGAAACCAACACAGTATTGTAAAGCAGTTTTCCACCAATTAAAAAAATAAATAAAATTAAAAAAATTGGTAATCTGGATCCTCCAACTTTGTTGTTCTTTTTCAAGTTTAGGGTCCTTGCATTATGTGCTATGATTTTTTAAATAAAAATTTAAGCCAAGTGGTAAAATCACCTACACAGTGACTTACGAATATAACTTTAAAATGTTATAAAAAATGTTATGAATGAATCCTCTTCAGCTTTGTATTTGCTGTGAAAAAATTACATTCTAGGCTTTTTCCTTAACTATTTTCTTTCCTTCTCCATCTTTCTCTATTACCTTATTTAACATTTCAGCAACAAATTTCCTTTGATATCACTACCTATCTCTTCTAATTGGAATCTCTTTGCATATGTTCATTGTAAGAAATGAAGCAGTAAGACTAGTGTGTCAAGCAGATCAGTTGGAATGTTTCTGTTTAACTTAAATTAACATCATTAATATGTATTTTGAATAATTTAGAAGTTAGTGAAAATCTTTCAGATAAAGAGACTACTTCTGCATACTTTGATCACGATGTAGACTAATATATAGTAGAAATATATGTAGCATGTAAGGTCTCATTTTCATGATTTCAGTAACAGAATTTTTCATTGTGAGTCACTAACTCAAATTTTTTCCCTTTAGGCTATTGCATTACCTCCTATAGCCAAATGGCCATACCAGAATGGTTTTACATTTCATACCTGGCTTAGAATGGATCCTGTAAATAACATCAATGTGGATAAAGATAAACCATATTTGTATTGGTATGTATTTCTGTAACTTAGTGTTGTTACTTTATTTTGAAAAATGAGAAGAATGTTTGGAGATGAAATGAAAACTTATTTTTTACAGTTTCAGAACCAGTAAAGGTCTTGGTTATTCTGCTCACTTTGTTGGGGGATGTTTAATTATAACATCAATAAAGTCAAAAGGAAAAGGCTTTCAACACTGTGTGAAATTTGATTTCAAGCCACAAAAGGTATGTGATCTTACTGTGTCATAGTTATGTTACCATCTAACCTTCAGAATGCTGTGGTAGATCATAACTCTGTTCTTAAGCTGGTTCAGAAAATGAGGTGTAAATTGCTGGACAGTTGTTAACCTCTCTGGATTTGGACAGTGAAAAGAGCGAATATTTAGCTATTTCCAGAGTTTACAGGGAAATACAAGTGGAAAGATATGTATTTGCTTTTCTACCTTAAAATTTAGAAATTATTGAATGGTTTATTAACAAAATGAACATCTATATGTAGATCAGTAAATAGATAAAACAAATATGACAAAATGTTGGCAGTTGTGGGATGGTGAGAGAGTTTCTATTAAGCTTTTTACCTTTAAAAAATTTTCATAATGAAAAGTTAGAAAAATAATTTCATGGGTAAGCCATTATTTGTTGAGAGCATTCCCTTGAATCAATATTGTTCCAGGGGTAGAATATTTAATAAAAGTAGCCTTATTTTAGTTTTAGATTTCACTTTAATTTAGCATTTGATTTTTGCTTGTTTTTATCAACGTGGTTGAATTGTTGGAAAAAATCATTATCTTTTTTTTTTTTTAACTGTTTTGCTTATCCAGTGGTATATGGTAACTATAGTGCACATTTATAACCGGTGGAAGAACAGTGAGCTTCGATGTTACGTGAACGGTGAACTTGCTTCCTATGGAGAGATAACATGGTTTGTCAACACGAGTGATGTAAGTAGTTTGAGAAAGCTACATTGAAATAAGAAAAATATATTTTACATTGAATATAAATTTTAGAACACTGCAGTGGTGGATTTTTTATAATTGTAGTTTGGCTCGCAGTTTATTAAGAGAGTGGAAATGTGCTAATGTGTCACTAAGATATTACTCAGTCCTTGTTATAAAATTGTTCTGGATAAGGTAGAGACAACAATTCGTAGGTAACAGCGAGTATATCCTCAAAGTACTGTGTCATCGGTCCATTAATCAAATTAAACCTCGGAGCTTTACTGCAGGGTTCTGATCATTTTTATGAATGAGTTAGGTGAAGTCAGCTTACAAATTTTCCATTTAATTCATAGCTGCTATAGATAACTATTTTTTAAAGAATATTTTCAAGATTCGAAAAGAGATCCATAGGTTAGAATTATATTCAAAATGTTCTCCCTGCCTCCCACATTACATTTTTAATAGAAACCTTGAAAAATTACAGATCAGGAAAATGAATACAAACTTGCAACACCCATTCACCATTAACTCCTATTATCTTAATCTACACATATTTACATATTTTGAAATGCTAACCTTAAGAGCTTGGATTGTTAGACTTAGGTTTGAATCCCTTCCTGACTATATGACTTCATTTATTAGGCCTAAGTTTTCTCTTTTGTGTGAATGTGCTCAGTCGCTCAGTTCTGTCTGAGTTTTTGCGATGCCCTGAACTGTAGCCTGCCTGCACAGGCTCCTCTGTCCATGGAATTTTCCAGGCAAGAATACTGGAATGGGTTGCCATTTCCTACTCTTAGAGGATCTTCCCCACCCAGGTATTGAACCCATGTCTCCTGCAACTCCTGTGTTGCAGGTGATTATTGCTGTGATCCATGGGAAGCCCTTTGCTCCACCTAAAAAGGGTGTAAAATAGTACTATCTCAGAATGCCAATTAAATGAGCTACTGTTCAGAAATCCATTAGAAGAGTGACTTATAGAGAATAAGTGCTCAATAAATGTTAACTCTTAATTTTTTTAAAATTAGAAATCAAATATGTATATTGCCTTTCAATCTGTTTTTTTTCTCCTTATATTAATCTTTGCTGAGCATTGCAGCTATTGTAATAAATACCTTTATTTTACTTTCTATAACCTTGCAAGATAAGTACTATTGTAATCTTTACAGGTGAAACTGAGTGCAGAGAGGTTAAGGAATTTGCCAGAATCAGCAGCATGGCAATCAGTTATTTGATCTAGGTGGTTTGTCTTCATTATCCAAGTGTTAAAAACTTTTTATATTCCTTAATGTCAACATACACGTATTTTCAACAGCCTTCCTAATAGTTTCATGGTATAAAATCCTTTTAGATAGATATCAGTATTTCTTTTACTTCTTGTTGTATAGATGTAAACATATGTGTGATCTCTGTAACCTGGATGTTACTAAGAGAAATTTTTTATGTAAATAAGAAAAGCATACACCTGTTTTTCTGAATTTACACCTTCCTTTTGAGAGATTGCATCTACTCCCATGACTTAACCTATTATTTGTATCTTGGTGTCTACAAAAACCATCTTTACAGTCTTAGCTTCTAACCAGAGAGAACCCTGTTGGCAATTGCTTCTTCACCCATAGCAGTTTACAGAAAAGACACATTCATTTCATGGCTCAAAGTTAGATCCTGATTTTGCTGGTTGCTCCAAAGCCTGCTCTTCTGTCTGGTTCTTTGGTTGACCAAGTATGAACCTGCAGAGTCCATGATGATTTTTCTGACTCCATTTCCTACATCCATTTTGTCGTCAAGTTTTGTTCATTGTACTTTGGAGAACTTGTCTTTTTTTCTGTGATGTCTTTCCTGATCTCTACACCAAATGGGAATAAATGAAGTGAAATGTTAAATGAAATTTTAATCTAATCATATTATATTTTAGAAAGGACAAAATATTTATATTAGTATAGGTTCTTATTAATTCTGGAGGAGACAATTTTTTTGTTTTTTCTCTTAATAAAATTTTCTGTTTTCTTTCACAGACCTTTGACAAGTGTTTCCTGGGCTCATCGGAAACAGCAGATGCTAACAGGGTATTCTGTGGTCAGATGACTGCAGTTTACCTTTTCAGTGAAGCTCTTAACGCCGCTCAGATTTTTGCTATTTATCAGTTGGGCCTGGGATATAAGGTACTTTACTTGATGTTCACTGCTTAATCAGTGTTAGTTGAGCTTGATTTATAGATGGGTGATGCATGTGGCAGCTTACAATGAGGGTTAATAAACTGTATGTGAGAATAACCAAGGGTACCATAAGGAAATCTCAGGAGTCCAAAGCACATTTTAACGTTTTACGGGAAGCATAATATACTTGCCATATATGGGGCACTGTGCAGACTACTAGCTCAGTTTCAACTTTAGCTTATGCTGCATTTCTTTTGTTGTTACAGTATTTTTGAATAGCTAAGTTTTTAATAGTTGCTATGATAAAAAGCACGGCCAAATTTGCCTGTTACTCCAGGTATCTCTTGACTTCCTACGTTTGCATTCCAGTCTTCTATGATGAAAAGGGCATCTTTTTTGGGTGTTAGTTCTAGAAGGTATTGTAGGTTTTGTAGAACCGTTCAACTGCAGCTTCATCAGCATTACTGGTTGGGGCATAGACTTGGATTACTGTGATAGTGAATGGTTTGCTTTGGAAATGAACAGAGATCATTGTCATTTGTGAGATTGCACCGAAGTACTGCATTTTGGACTCTTGTTGACTGTGACTCCATTTACTTTCCATCTTTTAATAAGGGTAGGTATCAGTGACATGTTGGTCTTTTTCCTTCCCCATCTTGGATATACTTAAATTGCTCTGCAGACTACGAAGGGAAGAGAGTGAAAGAAAAAAGACATCATGAGGGGAATAAAGAGAAGAGGAGAGAAACCTAGAGGAGACAGGTCTGGGAGGTCTACCCGTGTTGTAGGATGCATCAATATTTCGTTCCTTTTTTTCCATAAATAATATTGTGTAGGTGTATCACATTTTGTTTATCCATTTGTCAGTCGATGGACATTGGGCTGTGTCCATCTTTTGATTGTTATGAATAATGCTGCTGTGAACCCTTCTGTACAAGCTTTTATGTGCATACACGTTTTTATTTTTCTTGGGTTTGGTCCTAGAGTGGACTTGGTAACTCTACATTTAACTATTTGAGAAACTTTTAGATTGCTTTCCAACATGGCTACATAATTTTACATTCTCTCAGCTATGTATGAGGATTTTGATTTCATCATATTCTCTCCAACAACTGTTATTATCTGACTTTTATAGCCATTTTAGTGAGTTTGAAATGCTGTCCCATTGTGGTTTGGTTTTGATTTGCTGTTTCCTCATAACTAATTATGTTGAATGTATTTTTGTGTGGTTATAGTCTATGATATGTCTTATTTTGAGAAATGTTTATTCACATCCTTTGCCCTTTTAAAAACTGAGCTGCCTTTTTATTTGTCAAGTTTTAAGAGGTTTTTAAAAAAATATTTAATTGTGGTAAAATACACATGAAACTTACCACTTTAACTGTCTTAGGCAGTAGTGTTAAGTATTTTTACATTGTGCAGCCTAGCTGCAGAACTCTTCAACCTGTAAAACTGAAACTCTGTATTCATTGAACAAGAATCCACATTCCTCTTTACCTTAGTCTCAGTTTTGAGAGTTTTAAAAATATATTCTAGAAACAAATACGTTGGCAGGTTAATGATTTGCCAGTATTGTCTCCCATCCTGTGGCTTGTCTTGCCACTTCCCTGTTGTTTTCCTTTGAAGCACAGTTTCACTTTGATGAAGTCCAGTTTGTCTGTATTTTGTCTTATTATTTGTGCTTTAGTGTCATATCTGAAAACCTATTTGCTAATTTAAGTTCATGAAGATTTACTCCTAAGTTTTCATACAAAAGTATTATATTTTTAGCTCTTACATTTAAATTTTTGATTCATTTTGAGTTAATTTTTGTATTTGGAGCAACTTTATTCCTTTGCATTTGCATTTCTAGATGTTTCAGCATCATTTGCTGAAAAGAATACTCTTTCCTTATTGTATTTCTTGACAGCTTCATCAAAAATCAGTTGATCATAAATGTAAATATTTGTGGACTCTCAAATCTGTTTCACTGACCTATATCTATTCTTAGGTCAGTAGTACAGTCTTGAATACTGTGGTTTTATAATACATTTTTAGAATCAGGAAGTGTGAGTTCTCCAATTTTGCTCCTGTTCAAGATTGTTCTGGCTGTTTTTGGTATCTTACATTTCTGTATGAGTCTAAGATATACTTGTCAGTTTGTACAAAATTGTAGCTGGGATTTTGATAGAAAACTGTGTCAAATCTACAGATCAGTTTGAAAAGATTTGTCATCTTAAGGGTATTAAGTCTTCCAATCCATGAATATGGGATTTTATTCCATTGATGTGGGTCTTTTTCAGTTTCTTTTTGTAGTTTTCTGGAAGAAGTCTTGTGTATATTTTGTTAAATTCATAACTGTTTTCTTTTTTTATGTGCTATATCAAATGGAGTTATTTCTTAATTTCATTTTCAGATTGTTTGTTGCTTGTGTATAGTAACTAAATAGATTTTCATATATTTATCTTCTATAGGACAACCTTGCTATAGTAGTTTTTTAGCTCTGATTTTTTTTGTGTGTGTTTGTTTCTTGTCATTTTCTATATATTAATATATGATTATATACATATATATGTATATGATTTTGAAGCACAATTTACTCCTAAGTTTTCATATAAAAGTATTACATTTTTAGCAAATTGGACTTCATCAAAGTGAATTTGTGCTTCATTATATATGATTATGTGTTTGTAAACTGCCATCATTTAAGTTTTTTCTTTAAAATCTGGACATCTTTTCTTTCTTTTCTTTGCTTAATGGTCCTGACTAGAACCTCAGTACAGAATCTTGAGGAAATTATGCCCTATGAGATAAACCAGTCACAGAAGGACAAATACTATATGATTTCTTTATATGAGATAAAGACTGACTCATAGAAGCAAACAGTAGAATGGTGGTTACCAAGGGCTGGGGAAGGGAAAAAAAGGACCTGCTTATCAGTGTTTAAAATTTTAATCATGCAAGATGAATAAGTTCTAGAGGTTTGCTGTACAACATTGTGTCTATAGACGACAATACCATATCGCCCACTTAACATGTGTTAAGAAGGTGGATCTCCTTTTCAGTGTCCTCAGTAAAATTAAAAAAGAAGTGGTGAAAGCCGACATCTTTCTTTTTTACTGATCTTAGGGGAGAAAGCAATCAGTCTTTCATAATCAATTATGTTAGCTGTCAATTTTTTGTAGACAGTCTTTGTTTCTATAAGGAAGGTAAATCATGAAGAGTTTTATCATGAAGAGTTTTTGGATTTGGTTAAATGCTCTTTATGCTTCTGCTGAGATGATCATGTTATTTTTGTCCTTTATTTATTTATTTTTTTAATGGCTTAAAATAGCAGATTTATTACCTTATAGCTCTGGAAGTCAGAAGTCTGAAAAGGGGTCTCGTGAGGCTAACATCACGATGTCAGCAGGACGTCATTCCTTCTGGAGCCTCTGGGGCAGTCTGTTCCTGCCTTTTCTAGCTTCTGGACACCGTCCGCAGTTCTTGGCATGTGTTCCTTTCCAGCAGTGGCATCACTGCCGCCTCTGCTTTTGCAGTCATACCTCCTTCTCTGACTCTGACCCTCATGCCTCCTTCTAATAAGGATTCTCGTAGAGACTTCTCTGGTGGTCCAGGGGCCAAGACTCCATGCTCCCAATGCAGGGGGCCTGGGCGTTCAACCTCTGATCAGGGAACTACATCCCACATGCCACAACTGAGTTTACGTGCTAAACCTAAAGATCTCGCGTGCCACAATGAAGATTGAAGATCCGGCATGCTGCAACGAAGACTCAGAGCAGCCGAATAAATAAATAAATATAGAAAAAAAAAAGAAAAAAGTATTCTTTTTAAGAAAGGACTATTGTAATTGCATTAAGCCCACCAGGATGTGTTAGTATTACTCGCTCAGTCATGTCCGACTCTTTGAGACCCCATGGACTGTAGACTGCCAGTCTCCTCTGTCCATGGAATTCTCCAGGCAAGAGTACTGGAGTAGATAGCCATTCCCTTCTCTTGGGGATCTTCCCGACCCAGGGAATGAAGCCAGGTCTCCTGCCTTACAGTCAGATTCTTCACTGTCTGAGCCACCATTCACACATTCTAGGAATTAGGACATGGACATCTTTGGTGAGGTTGAGGGAAGACATTATTCTACCTATAGGCCTCTGACCCCCATGCTTTTAATGTAATGGGAGGATTGGCGATAAATGGTGCTTGGAACCTTAATCTCTTTATTTTTATGAATGTAGTGTATTGCAGTGCTTGTCCAAAGTTTAAACAAGCCTTGCATTTCTGGGATAATCCTACTTGGTTACAGTTTATTTTCTCATTCATGAATATACCGAGGCCCAGAAAAGAACCTTAAGTGGTAAATGTATAGAAGTAACTGCTTATTTTAAATAACCTACGCCAGATTCTTATTGAGTTATATCCTGTGTTAACAGCTTATTTGTTTCCTTACTAGTATGATCAGATACTGTTAAAACTGTACTTAAAGATTATATAAAGTGAGAAATTGATGATCATAGAATTACTCTTTGCTTATTTATTTTATATTTTATGTGGAATTTATAAAATAAAATGTTTGTTTAGGTGTTTATTTTCAAAACTTGTATCTGCTATCTCCTTTTTGCAAAACTCAGACTTAAATTGAAGAAAATAGGGAAAACCACTGGACCATTCAGGTATGACCTAAGTCAGATCCCTTATGATTATACGGTGGAAGTGAGAAATAGATTCAAGGGATTAGATCTGAGAGAGTACCTGAAGAACTATGGACTGAGGTTCGTGATATTGTACAGGAGGTGGTGATCAGAACCATCCCCAAGAAGAAGAAATGCAAGAAGGCAAACTGCTTGTCTGAGGAGGCCTTACAGATAGCTGAGAAAAGAAGAGAAGCAAAAGGCAAAGGAGAAGAGGAAAAGATGTACCCACCTGAATGCAGAGTTCCAAAGAACAGCAAAGAGAGATGAGAAAGGCTTCCTCAGTGATCATCGCAAGGAAACAGAGGAAAACAATAGAATGGGAAAGACTAGAGATCTCAA